ACTATGTTGATACAATTAGAATGCATAACACGTCAAATGAAAATAGGGAAATGATGATAACTAAATATTATTTACTTCACTAAACAAAACAGTGAGAATCAAGAAGGTCATTATGGGAAATTCATTTTTAGTTTTGTTGATGTTGTAAATGTAATGTATGTATTATATGTGTGAAAGTGTTAGATATCATGAATCAGTAACACTTTAATATTTCATTAGTTAAATTAGTTAACATCATGAACTGCACTTCTACAGCATTAAATCTTAGTTAGGCCTAATATTAATTTCAGCATGTACTAAAACATTAAAATCAAAAGTTTTATTTGTTCTCATTAGTTAATGCACTGACTGTGACATAACATGAATAAACAATTAGCCTAACAGTTGTGTTATTAACTAAGATGAACAAAAACAGCAACAAATGTGTTGCTCATGGTTCATACATGAATAATGAACAAATGAACCTTATTGTAAATCGTTACTATCAAATCAAAGATATAAATTCCTTACAATTTAGAGTTGGACATGGACTTAAGATTTCATTTAACTCGATGTGTGACATATTAGATCTGTTTTACATATATGAGGTTATGAGGACATCTAGTGGTCATCTGTCATCATGTCAGAAAGAGAGCACAAGTTGCTAAACACAGCAGGGAGACTGCAGAGGTCAAGCTGCAAACGTCTGACATATTCTGGACACAAGATGGCGCCACTGGGCAAGAAAGCACTAAATTGTGTGTCCAAAGGACAGAAATACAAAATCCTGCTGGAAATAATGAAGCATGATGCACCTGTCATTCTAGGACAATCTGCATGTCAAAAATGGGCATGATTAAAAGACTGTCTGAAACTGAAAAGAGCAGAGACATTCTCCAGGATTGTGGCGATCTATATGAAGGACTAGGCTGTTGACCAGGAGAACACCACATACAAACTGATCCAAATGTCAGAGCAGTTGTGCATGCGCCAAGAAGGAGACCTGTAGCTCTGCGAGAGAAAGTGCTTGAAGAACCACAGAGAATGGAGCAGATGGGGGTCATCGCAAAGCAAACTGAGCCGACTGAATGGGTCGACAGCATTGAACCTGTAGTTACATTCAAGAAAACGCACATTTGTGTGGATCCTAAAGATCTGAATCTGGCAATAAAAAGAGAGCATTATCCAATGCTGACAGCAGAAGATGGTCTCAAGAATGCCGAATGCAAAGTACTTTTCTGTGCTAGACGCGAATCAAGGGTTTGGGCAGATAAAGCTGGATGAACGGCAAGAGGAGAGACATTTTGTCCTGGCCAGGTGTGTCGACACACACTGAGATCAGTCTCCAGATGTCTACAAGACTCATCCTGTGACATACATTCTCCAACTCATCTGAAGAACTGTTTCTTGAGGCCGTCTATCCAGATTTCCATCCGTAACTGTATTAAAATCACCTCCCCATATATAATCTTGGCAGTAGGAAAAGTTGTAATCAGCTGGCTAATATTATCTTCTACTGTTGTAAATAATAACTTGTTGTCTTTTTTGTTACATGCATAAATGTTAATAATAATGAATTGGGAATGATCTGCATCACCAACCAGTATTACCCATCTCCCACTTGAATCTGCTAAATGTTTAAAGTTTCCCTGTAAAATAGCGACCCCTGCTGACCGGTTACTCCCAAATAAAAACCATATATTTTTCCCCCATTGACTCTTCCAAAAAGAAATATCCGAATTAGAAGCATGAGTCTCCTGTGTAAAATAAAAATCAGCACCTTTGTTTTGAAAAAATAAAAATAAACATTTCCTTTTCAATGGGTCTCTAACAGCTCTGGCATTTACAGAAAAAACAGATACAGACATAAAAACTCAGAAACTGTATGAACTTCTTTGCAAAAACTGCAGAGATTCTGCTCTAATGTAATCATGAGCTGCTTCAATGTCCCTTATAGACCCCTTTTGCGCCAACGTCACAGTCACGTCACGGCTCTAGCTGGAGGCAAAACAAGTGAAAACTGGAGGCGGCCAATACAAACCAGCACAGATTCGGCTACATAATAAGGAGCTTAAATTATTGTTACTATTATTAAACGTCATCTTGTTGTGTTTGGTGCAAGAAGTGATTTCTTTTATTTCTAAAAAATATTCACATGATTAAAATCACACTGTAATGTCACTCTTTATATTGTCGTGGTCTCGGCAGAACTGCGGATCACACACAAGTCTTGTACAGGATCATATAGGCATCTAAAGATTTATATGCCCTCAGTTTCTCTTTACGATGGGTTTCTCTATAAGGTAGGTGTAGAAGTCAGGCCACTCAACCGAGGAAACGTTCGTTAATCCTGTCAGATCATCCATGCATTGAGTGAGTGTGTAGGCGGCTACGGGTCGGCCAATCGGGGTCATTCTAAAACGCTTACCAAAACCAAAACTCGCCCAGAGCTTTACAATGTACCCAAATATTATCCAGAACTGGCCCAAAACAACGCCGTAATCCCCATATGTCAGCCAGACAAAAGCCAAACGGACACCACCTTTAGGCCAGAACTCGGACACATCTTATCTAGAAGCTGCAGAAAACAGACACAACTGGGCCAATATTATACCACAGTCCCCAAAACTGAACCAGAAATTATCCCTGTGTAATACTTATATATTGTGCAAGGAAAAACAGACAGATGGGCGGAAAAGAGGGACATAAAGACAAACATAGACCGAGAGATGGACAGACACGGAAAAGACAGACGCTTTAAAACCTTTTTTTAAAACAAAAACACCAATACAAAATAAAAATGCGATAAACATACTTTATTTTAAACACAAACAAACAAACAAGAAAATGGCCAATAGAAATAAATGGAGGATTTGTTCACAAATGATCCTGGAGTTCACCTGTGGAGAGAGAAGTGGTTTGAGAAAGTTCATTAGTGGTATTGCCTCATAACAGCAGATACACACAGTCAAACGCTTCGGCAAAGACGGTCGGCACAATTACTTCTATTGCTCTCCCTAAACACACAAAACACTCGTCTTGGAAAAAATCAAATGTAATTTGTATTTAAATACATTTAGGATGAGTATTTTTGTATTTTCAAAATACTCAAAATACTTTGAGCCAGAATCCTAGAAGATCAGAGGAAGGATTTGGACATCTTGAACCAGTATCCACTTATTAGACAGCTGTTTGTGAGGTTCAACACAATCATTCCCTCTTCAGCTCCTGTAGAGCGCTTGTTTTCCTTTGCGGGTCTAATCGGTACATTTTATTTGAAGGGGTGTGCATAAGACTGACATGACACTGTCATAAACATGACATAACACCTGTCATGAACATGAAGGAGTCTTTATGAATGTTTATGACTTTTGTCATTAAGTGTCATTCGGTAAATTATGACAATTTTAATGCAAAGTTGACATTGTTTAAAATGTCTTTGTTATGACAACTTGACATTAACCAAGAAATCATAACCTGTCAACCTGCCATGTTTATACCTAGTCCAACGTGTTCCACTTTACTTGAGGTAAGGGGAAATATTAATGACACTGTTGTTAAAACATTTGAGGGCTTGAGACGAAGAACCATATAAGTCCATTTTTTCACATTTTGAATAATAACGTTTTTTTTTAAATTTGGACTCTGAATATTATATTATTATTTTTTTTTTTACTTGAAGATAGACAACAAAAGCTTCACAATTCTAATGAGATAAGATTTTTTAGTATCAATCATAAAAATAAAAAGTTAGAGTAATTTACATTTCTGAAATGTGGAAGAACAGTATATGTCCAGTTAATGTGGAAGAACAGTATAAGTCCAATTCATCATATCACTTTAAACCACTGGAGATTTGATTCCTTTAACTTAGATTTAATACAGTAACAGAACCTTAAAGAAAATATTAAGCATTTCTTTCTTTCAATTTCTTTTATTTTTTGTCAACGTAAATCACAGAACAAAAATACGGACAATACAGTACAAACAATGAACCAATACATAGGCCTACTCATAGCACATAAAATAAACGTCAGTACAAACAATAAACCATACATACAATCAACAATACATACAAACAATAAACAACAGTAATAATGGTAAACAATACATATTTACAATACATTATCAACATTCCATGCTATGTTACAGTATATGCAAGTTTATACATCTTGCTTTTTTGTTCCTTTTAACTTTTATAATACATTTCAGAAATAATCAGCCCATTAATTCATTTAATAAATAAATAAATACCTATATATTCCTATTATACAACATAAGATAAGACATACAAGATAAGCTACTATTATGATTACTTTTACACAATATACACAATATACCCCACTGTGGCGAATAGAATGAGGCAGAGGGCCGTGAGAGAACGGTGCAAGGCGGTGGTGTGAATGTTAATGAGTGACATCTGTGAGATGCACTGGTCTCGCATCTCTCACGGAGGAGCGGAAGCATAAAGGAGGAGTGACAACGTTGAGAGATGCGAGACCGGTGTGTCTCACAGGTGGCGTTCATTAACACTCGCACCACTGGCCTTGCATCGTTCTCTCACATCTCTCGTCCTGTTCGCCACACCCACCTTACCCTGCACAACACATCCCAGACTACTCTTCACATTCTAATGCCTCATAAAATGCTTGGGCCCCCACTGGCATGTAGGCAAGCATTTTCATTAGGTCACGGTGCTTCTCCTTCTTGATGGGCAGAGGGTCCTCGTAAGCACGAGCATACGTGGTGGAGAACAAGGGAGCTGGAGGTGGATGATTCTTCCTCTGTTTGGTGATCAGCCAGGTCTTCCATCCCTCGTAGATGCTGTGGCTCTCTTTTGTCTGGACACACCATGGATCAGCAGCTGAAATCATGATTCAACAAGAAATTCACTAAAGATTCTTCTTTCATGCACATATCCCCAACACTGTTAATCTCAGAAAAACTTTAGTTTTTTACCTGTCACTTTCAACCACATCATGGATGTAATTAGGAAGCCAGGTGGACGCTTTAATGTTGCATCAGGGAGCAGCCTGAAGTCTGCACATTTCATTTCAATGACTTTAAATGGATGCTGCTGCCTGGCTCCACGGATCATCTCGGCTACATCGCTGGGGGTGTGGAGTGTGGATACCTTGCGCCTCTTGTCCAACGTGGCAAAGGAACGGTCACAGGGAAGGAAGGAGTGACCAGACACCACGAACTTCTGCTCCATCTGACTGAAGTAGCCTCTAGATACAAGCAGGGCCATCAGGTTTAGCACTCGCCAGTTATTGTTTTGCCCACAGCATCGGTCACTATAGACGATGAACTTCCGTTCCTTTGCCTGGACTAGGGGGGTGAAAGAGGTTTCTGCCCACTTTAAAAGGCAGCTTGCCACCTCGATGGAACCTCTGTGAGCGATGCCCTCATGCCAAAGGCACATTGTAGGAGGATCATCAGTGCCCATCTCCTGGATACAGAGGTTGTAGTTGGCCAGCTGTCGTTGATAGTACACGTTGGAGTGTGTCAGGTTTGGTGTGAACACTACCCCCTGCATGTCGATACAAATGACATGGCAGTCATCATTGGCTTTGGCCCACTCTGTGTCAGCCTGCAACTGTGTGTACGCTTTTTCAGCTTTCCGGTGGTGAAGCTCACTCTCGGCTGCGATCTTCAACCTTTCTCCATCTGATGTAGCAGCTGTTAATTTTGAGAACAGGGCATCACATTTAGCACAAGTGTCACTTCTTGGCTGCCCAAAACTGAGGTTCTGCTGCTTGAAGATGTCCCTATAGAGCCAGAACTTTGCAGTGGATGTTGGATTCTTTTCCTTGTACAGGCGGAACATGCGGAGCAGGTTTAAATCAGGGCTCAGGTATTCCCTCTCCACATCTCCCTTCATCCGTGAGTAGTGGTTCGGTTGGCGTGGGAAGCTCAAAATATGCTCTCTTATCCCCTCTCTCACTGCAGGATGAATGCTATGAGGCCTAAAAAATAAACACAACTCATGAACAAGGGAAATATAATAAACTATGCTGGTCTGTTTTGCACAATTACATTGTTTCTGTGACAATAAATGCATAATTCTTAACTTTCCTCTAAACTACAGGATATTGTTTTTCACATACAGTCATTAAAGCGATATTTCAGGATTTAGCATTAAGCTTTGGATCATTAGATAACCGAATTCTTTTTAGTATTTTGAATTACCATGCTTTCCTCCCTCATATACCCCTGAGATGAGAGATTTATGTATTTTTTGTCTGGAAAAAATCCTCTGATGAAGCAAAAATCGTCATTGTTTACATGCACACCTTTTGTTTTAATCAAACTGAATTTATTACGATTTGTGAATCTGAATGTAGAGTTTGTGTGATTGCTAAATATGTGATCGATCGATTGATGTATGTTTTAGCATTACAATTTGGGAGTTGTTGTCTTTCATCCCCATAAATCAAAAATAGAAAGCTCCAAATTCAAACATAATTTCACATTTCTACTACATAAATGACCCATTTTAAATACACATTAATCTTTCCAGATCTAAAGTATCCCTAAAAAATCCACATGCTGTAAAGATACAAAAAATAATCATACATTACATTTGCATAGCACTTTGCCTCTGATATCAATCTCAAAGTGCAAAAATTTGTTTCCTGACTGGGCAACAACAGTGAGCTGAATCTTAACCACTACGGTACGTGCACGCTGGCGTTATAAGGTGGCAAGGCACCCGACACCCTATAATGCCAGTGTACCATTAGACCAGGGAATGTTGTAAGGCAACGAATGCTGACAATGGTGCAGCTTTAAAAAAAATATGAGGACGAGAGCATGAGGTCCTTCATGATTTTTTTTTTACTCACCTGTTCTTATGTTTTCCTCTGAAGTCCTCTAATGGAGACCTGACTTTAGCTACCTGCTCTGTTCCCTCTGACTCTGACTGACTGCCTAACTTTTCTTGAATAACCTTTTCAAAGATAAGTAACTTTAAATAAATATGTTATGGACAATGTATCTAATTAATGCATAATAAAAAATTAACAAAAGTAAAACACTAAGCTATATAAAACTTGCCTGTAGGCGACTGTTGGTCAGTTGAAAGACTGACATAAATGTGAGCTTACAAACAGCAAGTCTTTTGCCTCCTTGTTGCACATGGTACTTGAAGGTGTACTTCCTCTTAGTAATCTCAGTGTCAGGCCCACGTGGTCGTCTGCGACTCACCTTGTGCTAGAAGTAAAAAGACATGAAGTAAAAATACATTTACCATAGCGTAGCAGGCTAGCCGTCATGTAGAGCTGTCAAATTAAGGTCATTAAAGGGATACTCCACCGGTTTTTCATATTAAACTGTTATTCCCTTAACTATATTAACGTGGTCCAAACACCTCCACCAGCACTTTGACTCGGCGTAGTAATATCATCACTCATGAAAAGTCCTCTCCAGAGTGATGATATTATCCCTGGGGGATATATATGCGTCGAGTCGAATTTCTCCCAAGCACTTGCTGTGGTATTCCGCCATACAATATAGTTATGCACTTTACACACTTAGAAAAGCGCAATATTTTATTGTGTGTCACCGTCCTAGGTCGTGTTACACTACTCGTGTAAGTGTATTTAAATAGGGAAAACGTGGAGGTATCCCTTTAAGTATGTGAGTAGGCTTTGGTAAGGATAATGAATAAGCCATGTGTATGCCTTTTAGGGCACCAAAGTGCTGTGGTCTGCAATGCACTTGGTGGCCTACTTGATGCCGATCATCATTCATCCATCCTCACAAAATGTAACATTTACAGTGATCAGGCACATGCGCAGTCTTAGTGAATTTAAGGTATACAGTAATATTTAATTCACTGGTTATTTCATGGGCCAACATTATAATGCATTGCATACAGTTGACATGATATGGTTATGAATTGCTTGAGTTAGCCTACCTGCTCCAAACCAGAGAGAATGATAGCCTGCTGCCTCTCATAAGAGACAGCATAAAACTCTGTGAAGAGCTGCATTTTTCTTTGTTCTGTTAGGCTTGAACACTGCCTGGGACACGTCTCCTTGCACATCTTGCCCTTAACAGAAACAAAATCATATTACTGTTTTTTAGCTTTAGAACACTAGAGCTCTTAGCAGCTGTTAAGGTTTACTAACTAGAACAGCTTACATGTGTAATGTGTAAATGCATTATTTTATTATTACATTTTTTTATTATTTAATAACAAGTAACAAACAAAGCATAGCATACAATATTACAAAACAGAGTGTTACATTAATGGTAACAGGGGATTCAAAAATGATATCAAAATATTTTAAACATGTCAGTTACTATTTTTTTTTTTCAGTGAAAACATAAAGCAATCAAATTCTAATTTTCTCAGCTTTCATTTCGATTTCATTTCATTTTAAGTCACCCATTCATGACTTGATTTTCGCTAAACAGTCTGAGATGTATGAACATTAGTAACGTTAGACGCCCAGTTACACCTGGCTGTGACCAGCTAAAGTTACGTTACAAAGTAACTGGCTAGCCAGCTAACAATATCTGGCTATCTAACATTAGGGACATCAAACGCAGCTAAAACGTTGCGATTAATTTATCCCTGGTTATAAGGAGTAGCCTACAGCATTCATTTCGACCCATTCATGACTTGATCAGTTAAACAGAGTGAGCTAAATGAACTGTAGATGACGCCCAGTAGCCTACACGCCCCTCTGTCACCGCTAAAGTTAGGTAGATACTTTGTATACGGTTCTTTCACTCACCTCTTTCGGTGGATCTTTTCCTCGTTTTTGCTCTCCTCTCCGGTTCACGTATGGTTTCCCAGCGTCCCTCAAAGACTTCCTCGCTCTGTCCTTCCATTCATTCATGTTCGTTCTCCTTTTTTTGCCGAGGTTTTGCCTTTTAATGTCCGCAGCGGACATGAAAACAACCGGCGTCTCCATTTTTCGTTAGTGGACATAAACGGTTCTTCCGCGTGAGACTATTTTAAAATTTAAAATACAGAGTTTTGGTCGCGCGAACACCCCCCCCAAAGTGATTCTGTATACAAAGTGACGCACACACATTCAAATCACATGGTTATCTCAATTTTTGTTTTTTTGGACTTATACGGTTGTTCGTCGCATGAACACATTTGTCATTCAAATATTTGTCATGTTTTCATCCTCCAAATATCATGTTAATTACTTAACAGAACCCAAATGGAGATTAGCACTGTTTAACTGACCTTTTTGTTTACAATGAATGTGAATCCCCTCTGCTAAACATCTCCATTTGTGTTCCTCATAACATGTTTGGAACAACATTATTTTCATCTCTTTGGTCGACTGTTCCTTAAGGATAAACTATAGTTTCTTTAGCCTTTTCAATTGATCCTGTTAATATATATATATATATATATATATGAAGATGTTGAACAATGATTATTAAATCAAACAACAATATTGATAATGATAAATTAAAAGTTAAATATTTTTCTTTTCAAAACGCTATATAAATCCTTTTTTTTTTTTTTCAAAAAATGGATGGTTTGTCTTTTAATGCTCATTGTCACTAATATAAACACAACAGTTTTTAAGTTGGCTTGTGAAAGTTTGGAACAGAACCCAGATAGCAAAAAATATCCGCACGGCTTCTTTTTGCCGCCGGCCTGACGCTGTCGGCTATAGGTGCGTCCCGCTGGCGGCGATGAAACGTTTGCCGCCGAATACGTCACTGACGGTCACTCCCATTTTTTGCGAGATGCCGCCGGCGAATAGCTGGCGGGCCGCCTGCTTCATTTTCACTGGCGGTTGCCTCCGTCTCATGGACCGCGGCCGGCTGGCGGCAAACCGCTTTGAAATACAAGGATTTCAACACTCAAAATCGACCAGCCATGGCTTACTATTTGCTCCATGGGTTTAGGCTATAACAGATTCTTGACTCTTGATTCCATAAGGTCTAGGAAATTACGTTTAAATTAAATAGGCTATGTAAAATATATGTAGCCTAATTATTTTATGCAGGTAAAAAATATTTATATTTCTTTGATTTATGCACATTTGAGACACCAATTAACCAAAAATAATTTGTCAATAAAACTTATTTGGCAATAAATATCTTTCTGATTAGGTTTTACAAAATATATTTAATTCGTGGTATGAACAATTTAGAAGATATTTTATTATTATTTTATTATTTATTTTAAAGGCAATTAAAAAATAGAATCATTTAGATTGTGAATGTTAATTCACTATTTTGTGCAGAAAATCTATAGCTAAAACAAATGTGTTCTAGCTATAATTTTGCTATTCACAAAATAGCAAAATAGTGAATTAACATTCACAATCTAAATGTTTATATTTTTACAAGACTGTGAACTGTGAAGTACTGAATTGACAGTTTTGCTGTGTTCATGTTTTTTTTTTTTTTTTGGTAAACGGGGGCTCGATTACACACTGAAGCCACTGAGCCCCTAACAATATGACAATCAGTTTGCCGCAGTAAGAACCTTTCTTTTACGATCTATGGTTAGAACACAGCATGAAGTTACAAACTCGTGTACAGTAGGTGGCGGTATGCACCTAAAAGTTGGTTGCAATCCGACAATAATCAAGAGAAGAAGAAGATTGCCGAAGTAGAAGTTACTCAGCCCACAGTTTGCTTGCTAGCAAAGTCATCGACTACCGTCGTATAAGTAAGTATATGTTTCCTTTTTTTGTAACGCAATATTATGTTTACATTGGTTTTATTTTATCTTTTTAAAATATGCTAACTTAGTCATCTTTGTTCTTGCAGTACGCTGCTAGTCCTGTTGCTAGAGTGGCTAACGTTCGCAGCTAACACATGCTGTTTTGCCTTTGTTAGGACACGTTGCTAGTAACGTTAGTAGAAATGTAATTAGCTACTTACAGTAGTTAGCCAAAGCTTTACATCTAGATGGACTAAGTATAACTTGTATATAGGTTGTGTAAATTATTTTGTTTGTCCGAACTAGTATTTTGCTAGTTCAGTTCACAATGTAGCTAGCACGCTATAGTGGTTAATATTGGTTCTCTTTGATCACTGCAGCAAGCTTTATGGAAAAGAACGTGACATACAACATGCCTGGATTGGTTTGGTGCACCTCCTCAGACAAGAAGCCAAAAAGTATGGTGTCCTTGATAACATATCATGCTTCTGTGAGGAATAGATGGGAGGATGCAAGATGCAAATAAACTCAGTTTATTGGTTGGTCAGAAATGACAAATGTAAGACACAGATCGGGGACAACACTCAGGTGGTGGGTGAAGCAGGGACGAGATGGCGATCCGGTGGTGAAGACAGGTGAAGACGTGCTCGAGTGAAACCCAGGGAAGTGGAACATCCAGAAGACACGAGGAACTGATGAAATCCAGGAAACACGAAGTACTGACGAAATCCAGAAGAGTCACAGACGAGGCACGAGCACAGGAACACACCGAAACACAACCACAACGATCTGACAACAAGAGGGAGAAAATGCTGGGTATATATAGGGACTGAAATGAATGGCAGCTGGTGACACTAATCAACACAACGAGTAACCACACCCACACGATTACACTCACACAGACACATCAGCCTGAGACAGCTGATTCATGAACCGTGACAGTACCCCTCCTCCTAAGAACGCCTCCTGGCGTTCTCAGACTCCCTTACCTGTCGATTGTAATCATCAATAAGGGAGTGATCCAGGATGTCTCTAGCAGGTACCCAACTTCTCTCCTCCGGACCGTAGCCCTCCCAGTCCACCAGGTACTGAAATCCGCGTCCCCTCCGTCTCGAGTCCAGAATACGATTTACCGAATATGTTGGTTCCCCATCTACGAGTCGCGGGGGGGGGAACCGGGGCAGGCGGATTAATGTGAGAACGAAACACGGGTTTAATTTTAGAGACATGAAAGGCGGGATGAATTCTCCTGTACGCAGGAGGAAGTTTGAGGCGGACTGTCACCGGACTAATAATCTTGGTGACAGGAAACGGGCCAATAAATTTGGGAGCTAGCTTGTTAGACACGGAGCGGAGAGGAATATTCTTGGTAGAAAGCCACACTTTTTGACCCACGACGTAGACGGGAGGCTTTGACCGGTGGCGATCGGCCTTGGCCTTCATGCGCCTCCCTGCTTGGAGTAGAGTCTCACGGGCTCTAGTCCAAGTACGGTGGCACCTCTGGACGAATGCGTGAGCGGAGGGGACCGCGACTTCGGATTCCAGACTCGGAAAAATTGGTGGCTGGTAACCTAAACTACACTTAAATGGCGAGAGGCCCGTGGATGACACTGGTAACGAATTGTGGGCGTACTCCACCATAGAAAGTTGTTGGCTCCAGGACGACGGATTCTTAGCAACCAAACATCGCAACATTCTTTCGAGGTCTTGATTGGCTCGCTCAGATTGTCCATTACTCTGGGGATGATAGCCCGAGGACAGACTGACCGTGGCCCCCAGTAACTTACAAAATTCTTGCCAAAATTTGGATATGAATTGGGAACCCCTGTCAGAGACCACGTCCATCGGGAGGCCATGTAACCGAAAAACGTGATCTATGACAGTAACCGCTGTCTCCTTGGCTGAAGGTAATTTGGGCAAGGGGATGAAATGAGCCGCCTTCGAGAACCGGTCCACTACGGTTAAAACAACCGTCATGCCATTGGAGGGCGGGAGGGCGGTGATAAAATCTAGAGCGATGTGGGACCAGGGTCTCGAAGGGACAGGCAGTGGTCGAAGTAACCCATCTGGGGGTTGGTTAGATGTCTTACTAGTGGCACAGACTGAGCAAGCCAACACAAAATCGTGAATGTCGCGAGCCATCAGTGGCCACCAAAATCGTTGTTTAACTAGAAAACTGGTGCGAGTCACTCCTGGATGACAAGCCACGTTGGAGCAATGACCCCACCGAATAACGTCGGACCGTAACCCCTCCGGAACAAACAATCGACTCGGTGGGCAACCGGGCGGAGGCGTTACCCCATCTAAGGCTGTCATGACCTTCGATTCGACCTCCCATACCAGAGTGGAGATGACAACCTTCTCAGGTAAAATACACTCGGGAGTCACCGGGCGTTCGGATGGATCAAAAATACGAGATAAAGAGTCGGGTTTGATGTTTTTGGACCCGGGGCGGTACGAGAGAACAAAATCAAAGCGTCCGAAAAAAAGAGCCCACCGAGCCTGCCTGGAGTTGAGTCTTTTAGCAGTTCTGATGTATTCAAGATTCTTATGGTCGGTCCAAACAATAAAGGGTACCCCCGAACCCTCTAACCAATGACGCCATTCCTCCAACGCTAACTTAACTGCCAACAACTCTCTATTACCAATGTCATAATTACGTTCGGCAGGCGATAGTCGATGAGAAAAAAACGCGCAGGGATGCAACTTGTCGTCTGAGGAAGCGCGCTGTGAAAGTACTGCTCCTACTCCCACCTCTGACGCATCGACCTCCACCACGAACTGACGTGTGGGATCAGGGGTGACAAGAATGGGAGCCGAAACAAAGCGACTTTTGAGGTTGGTGAACACTGCCTCAGCAGTGTTGGACCACCTGAACGTCGTTCGGGGGGAAGTCAAGGCAGTCAGAGGCGCGACTAGTTGGCTGAAGTTACGAATGAAACGTCGGTAAAAATTGGCGAACCCCAGAAACCGCTGTAGGGCCTTACGGGAATCTGGACTTGGCCAATCTACCACAGCCTTAACCTTGTCAGGATCCACGCGCACTCCCTCAGAAGAGATGATGTACCCTAGGAAGGGAACAGACTGTGCATGAAACGAACATTTCTCCGCCTTGACAAAAAGCCCATTCTCCAACAGTCTCTGGAGCACTCGTCTGACGTGTTGCACGTGTTCCTGGAGAGACGAAGAAAAAATCAATATGTCATCCAGGTAAACATATATGAACTGGTCTACCATGTCTCTCAACACGTCATTAACGAGTGCCTGGAAAACCGCTGGGGAGTTGGACAGACCGAAAGGCATGACCAAATATTCAAAGTGCCCCCTAGGGGTATTAAAAGCGGTTTTCCATTCATCCCCCTTCCTGATGCGGACCAAATGATATGCATTACGTAAGTCCAGTTTCGTGAAAATAGATGCTCCCTGCAACCTCTCGAAAGCTGAAGACATCAACGGCAAAGGGTATGAATTCTTTACCGTGATGTTGTTCAGCCCTCGGTAATCAATGCAAGGTCGCAGAGAACCATCCTTCTTCCCAACGAAAAAGAACCCCGCCCCCGCAGGAGAAGAGGAAGGCTGGATGAACCCAGAGGCCAGAGAATCAGAAATATATTTCTCCATGGCCTCCCTCTCGGGAATAGAAAGAGAGTAAAGTTTGCCTTTAGGCGGAGATTTACCTGGCAGTAGCTCTATCGCACAGTCATAGGAACGATGCGGAGGAAGAGAAGCAGCACGAGACTTACTGAACACCTCCTTCAGGTCGTGGTACTCCGCGGGCACGTTAGATAAATCCGCTACCTCACTCTGAAACACAGAACCAGACACAGATGGACAGGCAGACACTAAACAGGACTCATGACAGTGGTTACTCCATGTGGAAACAGTGTTAGTGCACCAGTCGACCCGGGGGTTGTGTCTGGAAAGCCACGGGTGACCCAAAACCACTGGTGCAAGTGGTGAGTCCATGAGAAAAAACGAAATGAGTTCAGTGTGATTTCCGGAAGTGATGAGAGTAATGTCTTCAGTAACGTGAGTGATGCGGGGAAGTTCTTGACCATTGAGTGCGTTGACGATAATCGGGTGCGAGAGGGGTGTGACGGGGATCTGAAGTCTATGTGCTAGTCTGAAGTCCATGAAATTACCCTCCGCTCCCGAATCCAGAAGTGCGCTGGTGCAGTGCGTTGATTGTCGCCATCTCAGTCTTACCGGGAGGAGGGTTGATGTTGATGAGGTCTTCTCGGCGGAGATCCCACCCGATAGTAGCCTCATACTTACTACCGGGCTTGCTCTTTTACCGGGCAGGAGTGGATGAAGTGGCCCGCCCGGCCACAGTAGAGACAGAGTCCTTGGGATCTCCGCCTCTCCCTCTCCTCCCGGGAAAGCCGAGCTCTCCCCACCTGCATGGGTTCGTGGTCGTTTGTGGGGCTGACCGCGCTCGCACCACCGGGTTGGTGGTCCTCTGCGCCAAACACTGGGCGGCTGGGGCGCGTCAGTCTGGCTACACGATTCAGTCGAGCGTCCACTCTCAGCGCAAGTTCCACCAGTCCATTCAGTGTCTCAGGTAAATCCATAGCATAGATCTCTCTTTGAACGCGGTCAGCCAACCCATGCAGGAACATATCCCACTGCGCCGCCTCGTTCCAACGGCACTCTGCGGCCAGGGTGCGGAACCGGATGGAAAAGTCCGCCACCGAGCCTTCTCCTTGTCGCAGCTCGGCGAGTAATCTGGCCGCCTCCTTACCCGCCACTGCACGGTCGAACACTCTCTTCATCTCCTCGGAGAGTGCCTGGAACGAGGCGCAGCAGTCGTCCTTGTTCTCCCACACCGCCGTCCCCCAAAGCGATGCTCTTCCTGACAGCAGGGTTAGCACAAATGCCACCTTCGCCTCTTCGCTCTGGAAGGTGTGTGGCTGTAAGGCAAAGTGCATAGAACATCTAGTGAGAAATGCTCTGCAAAACTCAGGCTCACCGGAATATCCCTCAGGTGTGGGTAGGCGTGGCTCTGATCTCCCCGCTGCTGCAGGCGCTGGTGGTGGGAGGACGGGCGCGCGGGGGGCGCAGTGGGAGTCCGTAAAAGCTGTACCTGTTGGGTGAGCTCGGACACCTGCTTCACGAGTGCTTGCACCGCACGACCTGTGCCAGAGATATTCTCCTCCTGTTGATCCATCCTTGCGATACTGTGAGCGATGAAGTCATTGATCTGTGATGAATTTGCTGCATCCATGGTTTGGTCAGATCGTTCTGTGAGGAATAGATGGGAGGATGCAAGATGCAAATAAACTCAGTTTATTGGTTGGTCAGAAATGACAAATGTAAGACACAGATCGGGGACAACACTCAGGTGGTGGGTGAAGCAGGGACGAGATGGCGATCCGGTGGTGAAGACAGGTGAAGACGTGCTCGAGTGAAACCCAGGGAAGTGGAACATCCAGAAGACACGAGGAACTGATGAAATCCAGGAAACACGAAGTACTGACGAAATCC